ACCACCGCCGTCGCGGGGAGCCCAAGGAGCGGGTAGGGACGGGCCTGGCCGCGGGTAGAGCTAGTCCTGGGTGTGAGGAGGGCCGGAATCGGCCGCGGGGAGAGCCGGGCGCGTTTCGGGAGCAGGGACGGTTATGCCGGGGTGCGGGGAAGGCCAGGCCCGGCCTCAGAGTAGGGAGAACCGGGCCCGTTTTGGGACCGGGGACAGCCGCGTCCGGCCGTGGGGAGAGTGAGGTCCGTTTTAGCGGGGACAGGGGCGGCTATGCCGGTGTGTGGGGACAGCCAAGCTTGGTCCGGGAGCGGGGAGAGCCGTGCCCGTTTTGGGACTGGGGAGAGCGAGGCCCATTTCGGGGAGAGCTGTGCCGGGGTGCGGGGAAGGCCAGGCTTGGCCCGGGGAGAGCCAGGGCCGTTTCAGGGAGGAGTACCGAACGCCTTTTGGGACCGGAAAGGGCTGGGGCCGGCTCGGGAGTGTGGACGGTTATGCTGGGGTGCGGGGAGATCTGTGCCCGTTTCAGAAGCGGGGACGGTTATACCGGGGTGCGGAGAAGGCCAGGCTTGTTTTGGGACCGGGGAGAGCCAGACCGGGCCGCGGGGAGAGTGAGGGCCGTTTCAGGAGGGGGGAGAATCGCACGCGTTTGGGACCGGAGAGGGCAGGGTCTGGCTCGGGAGTGGGGACGGTTATGCCGTGGTGCAGGGAAGACCAGGCCCCTTTTGGGAGCGGGGAGGGCTGAGTCCAGCCCGGGGAGAGCCGGGCCCGTTTCTGGAGTGGTTATGCTGGGGTGCAGGGAGAGCCAAGCATATTTTGGGACTGGGGAGAGTTGTGCTGGGGGGTGGGGAGAGCTGGGTTGGGACCGGGGAGAGCCAGGCCTGTTTCGAGTGCAGGGAGACCTATGCCAGCATGTGGGGAGGATGTGGTCCGTCCCAGGAGCAGAGAGAGCCAAGGAGAGCCCAGCCTGGGAGCAGGGAGAGCAAGGCCCGGCCCAGTGCCAGTGGGATGTTGGGGAGTTGGGGGCATTGCCCAGGGGTTGTTGTCGGGGTTGCGTGTTTCCTTAACCACCTCATCAGCTCCCAACTCACTATCAACACAGCCATCGTGTATATGCACCGCTTCTATATGGTGCAGTCCTTCACCCAGTTCCACAGGAACGTAAGTGTGCTGGGGTCTGGCAGGCTGGGGGGTGCTGGGAACTCCCGAACACTGCTGCTGCTGCTGCCTGGCAGCCAGCCTGGGGATTGATGTGGTGGGACTGACCCTGGGGAGGGGGCTTGGAAAAAGGAAGGGTGTTTCATAGCTGCCTGTAGTCACCAGAGACCCTTTTCCCTCCTGGTGATGTTTGGACTTGCGCAGGCTTTGTTTCCTCATGGAATATTTGTTTTAGACTTGAGAATTAGCCTAATTTATTTGCTTTAATCTTCAACTCATTAACTTTTAAAAAAATAACGTTTGTTTTCTCTGAAGTCGGTGGTACCAGCAGCTCTGTTCTTGGCAGCCAAGGTGGAGGAGCAGCCTCGCAAGCTGGATTACGTTATCAAGGTAGCACAAGCCTGTCTGCATCCCCAGGAACCTCCTCTAGACACCAAGAGTGAGGTAAGTGTTGAGAATGGAGAACTGGGCTCTGATGTGAGGAGCGGAGGCACGAGGAATGGGAATGGCGGAAGCGTGCTACATCCTGAATTGCGTGGCTACAGCGTCTCGTTAAATCGGGTTCAGCAATACCCACTCTCTAAGTGAGCAGCTGTGTCCTAGGATGGTCAGTGACAGCTTTCCAATTCGACTGCTCTTACACTACTGAGAGCTTTTTGGCTTCTGTACAGCAGAAGGCTTTTCTTTCCTGCTCTGTGGCAACCTCTCTTCTGTTCTCCTCTGCTGTGCTGCTGCAAATGTGACTCGGATGTGCTGTGTAACAGTGTCTGCGTGAAAAGCTTCTGAGGAGGGCATGGATGTTGGCTGCTGTGGTTGAGTAGCGTCTGTGGCAGAGCAGAAGGTGGTGTACACACTTTGGTTCTGTTCTGTCCCCATACATTTAATGGTGGGTTTATTAAAAACGTTGCCGATTCCCCATCTCTCAAGACAGCCCATCTTACCTGGAACTGAGGAGCCAGCCCTGCTGAAAAGGGGCAGCTTTATCCAGGAAAGCTTAAGAGAGAAGCAAAAAAAAAAAAAAAAGGCAGCTCATTCCTCTACTGTACTGCTCATGTAGCCGTCCTGTGCAGTGCGAGGGACCAGGACTGAGAGGGCCACTGTGGATCCTGAAGCAGCCATCCCCTAGCAGAAGCACTAGTGGGGGAGCGGGTCCACCCCAGCACTCTGCTTTCTCTTTTCTGGCAGGGAATCTGTGCCAGTTCCCCCAGTGCAGATCGGCATAAAGATTCCCCTTTGCTGTTTTTGCCTCCCTGAGAAAAGGGTGTTAGAAATGTGCAGGCTTTATACGGAGTGCCTCATCGTGAGTAACTTGCCTGTCCTCTCAACCCCAGGCTTACCTGCAACAAGCCCAAGACCTGGTCATTCTAGAGAGCATAATACTGCAGACCCTGGGTAAGTTTTTCAAAGCGGACGGGCTGCCACACGAATCCCAGACCCAGGAGTGTTCCGCAGAGCGGAGAGCCTAACCGCACAGTCTTCTCCACAGCTGGAGGGCAGATGTACAGCTGGCCAGTGGGAGAGCAAGAGTCCAGGCAACAAACCCTGTTTTTCACACCCGCTCCTTCTGTTTTCCTTTTAACATCAGTTTTTTCAGGTGTAACTTGTGTCAGGTTCAATGCTCAGAGAAATTAAAACACGGAAGTGTGGCTCGTCTCTTTCCTCCCCTACCCCCCAACAGGTTTTGTACCACTTGGACACTGTTGCTGTCCTCCATTGTGCTGTTGAACTTGATAATGCTCTAGTCCTGTGGCCAGGAAGCAGTTTGCACTGAGAGATGTCTAACAAAACCAGGGTTGAAAGTTAATATTCTGTTCAGATAGCTGAAGGGCGGGGGGGACGACACAACAACCAGCAACAGTTTTTGGGTTTTTTTGAAAGTAGAAGCTGGAGCCTACATTTAGGGCTGTGGCTGTTGGATATAGTATTCTCTTCCTTTCTAAAATATTCTGTTAAAACTTGTTTTTACTAACATATGTTCCATTTCAGAGGCAGTTTGTAGATAGCATTCCAGTCCAAAATACTCAGTAGGCCTTTGTTACTTCTGACTTGTGGTTCAGAGTAAATGCTGCTAGTCCCTCACTCACAAGGGTACAGGAGGGGCAAGTGTGTCAATGGGTTGCATGCGCTGGCTTGGCAAGCCAGTGGCTAAACTGTGACCCTAGTTCTGCAACAACTCGGTTCTCCAGTTGCCTTTTTTTAAGTATCAGTTCTTCTAGAATGTTCTGCATGGGAAGAACCAAATCTGTTGCACACATGGACCCATTTGAAATTTTTTTTTCTTCAAAACATAATGCCCAAACTGAATAGGAAACTGAAGCAAGGATTAAGTTCAGTTGTCTTTAGTGCTGTAGGCTCCTTCAAAGGGAAAACGTCTGCTTCCTCTTAGCTTTTTGGGTGACAGAAATTCCTTTGAGCAGATGCCATTGTCTTCTCCTTCCTCCCAGCTGCTGTAAGAGCCTTTGTCCTGCTATTTTTAAAATACTTAATAGTTGTTTTGTTTTCAGTGAGGTCTTTC